AGGTCGACTCCACGCATCAGACTGCCTCCACCAAGAAAGAAAGAAGGGTGATTGTCATGGGAGACTCTATCCTTAGGGGGACAGAGGGCCCTATTTGTCGGCCTGACCCTACCCGTAGGGAAGTCTGCTGCCCTCCCTGGGGCCAGGGTCAGGGACGTTGCCAGGAAGCTCCCCAACCTGGTACGCCCCTCAGACTATTATCTCTTGTGATAGTCCAGGCAGGTAGTGATGACATTGATGACAGAAGCCTGAAGGCTATCAAAGAGACTTTAGGGGGCTGGGACGGTTAGTGGACGGAGCGGGAGTGCAGGTAGTATTTTCGTCCATCCCTACGTTGACAGGGAGGGGTACGGAGAGGACAAGGAAAGCCCACCTGCTAAACACGTGGCTCCGGGCTGGTGGCCTACGCAGAAATCTTGGGTTTTCGACCATGGGGCAGTTTACTCAGCACCTGGTCTGATGGCCGTAGACGGGTCCCTATCCTTTAGGGGAAAAAGGATCCTGGGCCAGGAGCTGCGGGGCTCATTGATTAGGGCTTTAAACTAGGTAAGAAGGGGGATGGGTGCTGAACAAGGACTGTTGGGCTATGCCAGGGGGAGCAATGGCAAGGCTGGAGGATAAGGTAAAGGCCCAGCTGAAGTGCATCTACACCAATGCACGCAGCATGGGTAACAAACAGGAGGAGCTGGAAGCCATCGTGCAGCGGGCTGGCTACGACTTGGTTGCCTATCACGGAACGTGGTGGGACCAGTCTCATGACTGGAGTGCTGCGATGCTGGCTATAGGCTCTTCAGAAAGACAGGCAGCCACAGAAGGGGTGGCGTGTGTGGCTCTCTATATAGAGAGGTCTTTCGATGTTGTAGAACTTGAGGCTAGGAATGACCAAGATCGGAGTCCCTTTGGTTAGGATCGGCAGGGACAACAAGGCTAGTGTCCTGGTCGGGGTCTGCTAAGACCGCCGACCAGGATGAGGAGACGGATGAGGAGTTCTACAGGCAGCTGACAGAAGTTGCGAATTCGTCGGCGCTTGTACTCGTGGGGGGACTTCAACTTCCCTGACATATCCTGGAAGCACAACACAGCCCAGAGGAAGCAGTCTAGGAGGTTTCTGGAGAAAGTGGAAGATAGCTTCCTGACGCAGCTGATTAGTGAACCTACCAGGGGTGGTGCCCTGCTAGACCTTCTCTTCACAAACAGAGAAGGACTGGTGGAGGATGTGATTGTCGGGAGCTGTCTTGGGCAGAGTGACCACGAAATGGTGGAGTTCACTATTCTTGGCGGGGCCAGGAAGGGAACCAGTTAAAACCACTGTATTGGACTTTCGGAGGGCTGACTTTGGGCCTGCTCAGGACACTAGTTGGTGGAGTCCCATGGGAGGCGGTTCTGAAGGGCAGAGGGGTCCAGAAAGGCTGGGCGCTCTTTAAGAGGCAAATCCTAATGGCGCAGGAGCGGTCTGTCCCCATGTGCCCAAAGATGAGCCAGCGGGGAAGAAGACCAGCCTGGCTCAACAGAGAATTGTGGCTTGAGCTTAGGAGGAAAAAGAGGGTTTATATCTTTGGAAAATTGGGCAGGCCACTAAGGAGGACTATAAGGATGTAGCGAGGCTGTGCAGGGACAAGATTAGGAAGGCCAAAGCTCATCTGGAGCTCAATCTGGCTACTGCTGTTAAAGATAACAAAAAAACGCTTTATAAATACATCAACACAAAAAGGAGGACTAGGGAGAATCTCCATCCTTTACTGGATGCGGGGGGAAACTTAGTTACAAGAGATGAGGAAAAGGCGGAGGTGCTTAATGCCTTCTTTGCCTCAGTCTTTAGCGGCAAAACCGGTTTGCTCTCTGGATACCCAGTACCCAGAACTGGTGGAAGGGGAACGGGGAAGCAGGATGTGGCCCTCACCATCCACGAAGAACTGGTTGGTGACCTGCTACGGCACTTGGATGTCCACAAAATCGATGGGGACGGATGGGATCCACCCAAGGGTACTGAGAGAACTGGCAGAGGAGCTGGCCAAGCCCCTATCCATCATTTATCAGCAGTCCTGGCTATCGGGGGAGGTCCCAGCTGACTGGCGGCTAGCAAACGTGACGCCCATCTACAAGAAGGGCCGGAGGGCAGACCCGGGGAACTACAGGCCGGTCAGTTTGACCTCAGTACCAGGGAAGCTCATGGAGCAGATCCTCTTGGGAGTCATCATGCGGCACTTGAAGGGCAAGCAGGCGATCAGGCCCAGCCAGCATGGGTTTATGGAAGGCAGGTCCTGCTTGACGAACCTGATCTCCTTCTACGACAAAGTGACGCGCTGGGTGGATGAGGGAAAGGCTGTGGATGTGGTCTACCTTGACTTCAGCAAGGCTTTTGACACCGTCTCCCACAGCATTCTCCTCAAGAAACTGGCTGCTCTTGGCTTGGACTGGCGCACGCTTCGTTGGGTTAGAAACTGGCTGGATAGCCGGGCCCAAAGAGTTGTGGTGAATGGAGCCAAGTCCAGTTGGAGGCCAGTCACTAGTGGCGTCCCCCAGGGCTCCGGTGCTGGGGCCCGGTCCTCTTTAACATCTTCAATCAATGATCTGGATGATGGCATTGAGTGCAACCCTCAGTAAGTTTGCAGATGACACCAAGCTAGGTGCGTGTGTCGATCTGCTCGAGGGTAGGAAGGCTCTGCAGGAGGATCTGGATAGGCTGCACCGATGGGCCTGAGGTCAACTGTATGAAGTTCAACAAGGCCAAGTGCCGGGTCCTGCACCTGGGGCGCAATAACCCCAAGCAGAACTACAGGCTGGGAGAGGAATGGTTGGAGAGCTGCCAGGCAGAGAAGGACCTGGGAGTGATGGTAGACAGTCGTCTGAATATGAGCCAGCAGTGTGCTCAGGTGGCCAAGAAGGCCCAACGGCATCCTGGCTTGTATCAGAAAACACTGTGACCAGCAGGGCTAGGGAGGTGATCGTCCCCCTGTACTCGGCTCTGGTGAGAGGCCAGCACCTCGAGTACTGTGTTCAGTTTTGGGCCCCCCTCGCTACAAGAAGGACATCGAGGTGCTTGAGCGGGTCCAAAGAAGGGCGACGAAGCTGGTGAGGGGCCTGGAGAACATGAGTCCTACGAGGAGGGCGCTGAGGGAGCCTGGGCTTGTTCAGCTGGAGAAGAGGAGGCTCAGGGGTGACCTTATGCTCTTATAAGTACATTAAAGGAGGCTGTAGAGAGGTGGGGGTTGGCCTGTTCTCCCATGTGCCTGGTGACAGGACTAGGGGGAATGGGCTAAAGTTACGCCAGGGGAGCTTTAGGTTAGATGTTAGGAAGAATTTCTTTACTGAAAGGGTTGTGAGGCACTGGAACGGGCTGCCCAGGGAGGTGGTGGAGTCACCATCCCTGGAAGTCTTCAAAAGACGTTTAGATGTAGAGGCTTAGGGATATGGTTTAGTGGGGACTGTTAGTGTTAGGTTAGAGGTTTGGACTCGATGATCTTGAGGTCTCTTCCACCTAGAAATTCTGTGATTCTGTGATTCTCTTTCAGCCAGAATCACATGGCGATTGGACCAGACCACGGTACAACCTTGACTGCTCTCCCCTTGAGAAGTCATCTTTGAGGAAGAGCTGCCAGTGCTCTCTAGGACAGGAAAGATTCCACAACCACACCCACCAGGCCTTAACTGCAAGAAGGACAGTGACATGAATTGGGGTAGGAGCGGGAGTGACCACTCCATCAGGACGATGGGACAACGGACAGCCTTGGTGAGTTGCTAGATACTCTTGAGCAGAGAGACAGGGGTTGCCCATGTTCACAGAGGGATGCTGCTCTGTCTCGTGTGCGTCTCTTTTAGCCAGAAACCCACAGCCGATGACCAGGTCCTGGCACAACCTTAGCCGCTCTCCCCTTGCGAAGTCAGCTGTAAGGATGAGCTTCCAATGCTCTCCAGGACAGGTAAGATCGCCCCAACCAAGGACAGGAGTGAGCACTCCAACAGGATGATGGGAGGCGGTCAGACTTGGTGAGATGCTCGAGAACCTGGGGCACAGAGGCAGGGTCATCTTGTGGTCACACGGGGATGCTGCTCCATTTCTTCTGTCTCTTATTAAAGCCAGACACACACAGCGACGGGACGAGACCATGGCACAACCTGGCCTCTCTCCCCTTGAGAAGACTTCTGGGAGGAAGAGCTGCCAATGCTCTCCAGGACAGGTAAGATCACCCCAACCCACACCCACCAGCCTCTAACAGTAAGCAGGAAGGTGACACGCTCGGGCCAGGAGCGCTGTGACTGCTCCATGAGGATGATGGAACAGGGACAGCTTTGGTGAGTCGCTAGAGACCCTTGGGCACAGAGGCAGGGGCTTCCTGTGCTCACAGAGGGATGCTGCTCTGTTTCGTGATTCTCCTTTTGCAGCCAGATTCACACAGCGATGGGACCAAACCACAGCACACTCCTGGCTACCTTCCCCTTGAGAAATGTGCTTTAAAGAAGAGCTCCAAGCACTCTATAGGACAGGTAAGATCGCCCCAACCTCCAGCTGCGATGGTCCACGCAGGAAGCTGACAGAACTGGGGCAGGATGACAGTGAATGCTGCATCAGTAAGAAGGATATATGACAGCGTCGGTGAGTCGCTAGATACTCTTAGCAGAGGCAGGGGCTGCCCATGCTCACAGGGGTTGCTGCTCCATTTGTTGCTTTTCCTCTTTCAGCCAAGAAACGGCACAATCCTGCCTCTCTGCCCTGAGGCACTATGCTGGACGGTAGAGCTGCCAACGCTCTCCAGGGGCATGTACATGTAAGATCGCCCAACCCACATCCACCGGCCTCTAACAAAAAGCAGGAGGGTGTCACGCTCGGCCAGGAGGGCAGTGACTGCTCCATGAGGACGACGGGACAAGGACGGCCTCGGTGAGCTCGCTGGAGGGCCCTCGGGCACAGAGGAAGGGGTAGCCCGTGTCGACAGAGGGATGCTTGCTGCGTTTGGTGCTTCTTCTCTTCAGCCAGAATCACACGGCGATTGGACCAGACCCACGGCACAATCCTGGCTGCTCTCCCGTTGAGAAGTCAGCTGGAATAAAAGCTGCCAATGCTCTCTGGGACAGGTAAGCAGTCTGCCTAATTGTTTCTGTAGCAAGCTCCTCATCTTTATTATTGAATTAAGATCATATGGAATAATACTAATCTTAATACCTAGAATTTCCTCATCAATCACTATAAAATACTTAATGTACAGTCATCCTTTTGTGAGGATAAACCAGTGAGGTAAACCTGACTGCAGACATACAAGATGAGGAGCTTGCTTTGCTGTTTGGAAAATTGCTGCATGTTTTCTTGTTGTTAGTTTTCAAATAAGGAAAAACCCTTCTGTGTGCAGCCAGGTCTCTAAGGAAAGCAGGTGGGAGCTGGTGCAAAGGGGCTGTAACATGCAGCTGCAGACTTCAGTGCAGAAGTGTGGTGTAAGGAAAAGTGATGCAAGCGCCAGGTGGCCAATGAGAGAAATGTCAGGGTTGGGGTGGTGAGGAGCAAGGTTGTCCATGCGCTGTCAGACCTCAAGAGTCTGCTTTTCCTCCCGTATTTTGCATGTGCATGTTGCATGTGCTAATCCCCTCCCTCCCCTGCTGGCCACGCTGCTTTTGATGGAGCCCAGGAGGCAGTTGGTCTTCTGGGCTGCAAGCACGCGCTGCTGGCTCATGTCGAGCTGCTCATCCAACAAACCCCCAAATCCCTTCCACAGGGCTGCTGTCAGGGAGTTCTTCTTGTGCCTGCTATTGCTCTGACACAGGTGCAGCACCTTCTGTTTGGACTTGTTGAAGCCAGGCACCCCCTGGCACCAAACCTCCCGCTGGGAGCAGCTGCAGAGCTGCAGGCCTGCGGCTGGGCAGCACGCGCTGTCAGGGGGAGCGCAGCAGTGGGGGCCGGGCACCAGGGGAGGGGAGCGCCGAGACGAAACACCCCAGCCCTCCTGGCGAAGGGCGGCATCGCCGTGCCCCAACCCCACCAGACCTCAGAGCGGGCACGCGAGGAGGCGGTGGGCACAGCAGCAGGAAGAGGGGGAGATGGCAGCAGGGGTGTGGATGGCAACACCAAATAAATTGTTAGCTACACTGAGACTTATATATATATGATTTATTTTCTACATTGTATAGATGTATTGCTGAGGCCTTCCGTGTGCCCCATCCGCTGGCCCGGCCCTGTTGTTGCCAGCTCCTGGGGCGCTGCCCTAGTGTTGCCGTGCCGGGGTGGCCTCTTCTTGGCTGCCGGAGAAGAGGCCTGGGAGGTGGGGGCCCCTCCTCTTCGGCGGGGCTCGCCGGGGCCCCCTTTGGGGATGGTCCCTGCCCTGTTCCGCTGTGGAGGGTCCAGGCACAGGCCTCTGGTGTCTCCTCCTGGGGGCGCTTCTTGGTTCCCCGGGTCCTGAACCAGGCTGGAGGGGGGGCAGGCCGGGACCCCCTTGAAGGGCAGCACTGGAGCTGCCCGCGACTTGGTCCGTGCTGGCTCCAGCAGCGTTGTTGGAGGGCTCTGGAACCAGGACCAGCAGTCCCCTGTCGGGAGCCAGAAGGCCTGGGGGCAGCTGCGGGGCTGCCTGCCTGTCCCTGGCAGCACGGGAGCCCTCCAGGCCCAGCAGGCGGTGGGCCACCCAGCTGCACCGCTGCACCGTGATGCTGATGAGCTGGTGCACAAAGGTGGCTGCGTGGTCCGCCATGGAAAGCTGCAGCAGCTGGACCAGGCGATCTTCATCCAGCCCCAGGAGGCCCAGGGCGGAGGTGAGGAGGTCTTCCACCATTTGCGCCTCCGCGTGATCAGCCCCATGGATGCGCCCCAGCTCCTGGCGCAGCCAGGGCAGCACGGGACGGATCAGAGTTGGGTGGTCTCGCAAAAGGGAGGCCCAGACTTCAGGCTGGAGGCCTCCCACAAGAGCCGGCCCTGCAGCTGATGGCGGAGATGCTGCAGGGTGGTGACGGGGGCCGGTGGTGGCTGCGTGGCCACGAGCTCTCCCAGCCGGCTGGGCCACGAGGGATGCCTCTGCCGGCGGTGGGATGACGACCTCCTCAAATGTGTTGCTGCCCGCACCGAGTGTATGATGGAGCTGACCCTCCTCTTGCAGAGGGGGCACTCGGGCTTGCTCTCCATCCACTGCTGGATGCACTGGAAGCAAAACTGGTGGAGACATGGCATCACGTAGCCCGCGTTGTCCCAGGTGTCAAGACAAATGGGGGCAGCGGCTCTCCAGTGCCGTGGCCATGCTCTCCAGCTGCTGCAGTGGGCTGCGTGGAGCAGGGGATGAGGGGCTGCTCCTCCTCACCAGCGCTGCAGCAGCAGCAGCTGTCACGCTGCGAAAGGCAGAGAAGAGGCCACGGTCATCGGCTGCTCTAGGGGCAGCTGGAAGAGCTGTGCAGGTCCCCAGAGGAGGAAACCCTTCCAGCTGCCCAGGGGGAGGTGTCCCTGCAGTGCTCACACTCTGCTGCTGCGAGCGCTCTCCTGGTCTCCCGACGGCCCAACGACGCAGGACCGTGGAAGAAGATCCGATGGCTCTGGGAAGGGCACTGAGAGCTGCTGCAGGCAACTCCCAGGGCACGACACCAGCACCAAGGCCAACCTCGCTCCTCACTCCAGACCTCACGTAACCGCTCAGCCGGAGTGCGGGCACTAGCCGGCGGGGTGGGACTCTGCACCCACATATAAGCAGTGAGGGCCACGCAGTCACAATCCATTGCTCACTGACATCACAGTCCATCGCTTGGAGACGCCACCCAGCTAACCCGTAGGAGATATGCCAATGGCCCATCCTCACCTCGCAGCTCTCTGGCCCCAGATTCTGAGGCCTCCCGCATGCTACGTGTCCACTTCATGCCCCCACAACTTTTGTCTTGTCCTGGGCAAGAGTCTGCTTTCCTCCCGATTGGACATCTCCATTGGAGAAGAGCTGGATTAATATCAATAGAAGGAAGATACTCAAAACTGAAATGTAATAAAATTCACCCTTTAAAATGAGAGGAGACATTTATTAGGTGCTTTTTGAAATCTTCCTCCTTAACTACACTATGAAAGCTCTCCAATTAATTCTCCAAGTCTTGAAGACTTGAATAAAACTATGGAAGACATATTATGTTTGCTTAGGAGTTTCTGCCTTTTACTGAGTTCCACGGTGGATTTTGGTGCTTAGTCTGTGAACGTCAGGTACTGAGAGGAGAATGATGCACGTTAAACCATCGGACATTGGTCCATTTTTCCTCTTGGGAAACACAAAGACAAGTGTGAGGCCTGAATATGTTTTGAACACAATGTTTAGTCCCACCCTCAGGAGACCTCTTGCCTGGGAGTGTTGTTCTGAGGATATTTTCCTGCTACAGGTGTCTCTGCACACTTACTTGCAGGCTCAGGAAAGGCTGGTGTGGCTAGCTTTGGGCCTCACTAGTGGACAGGCACGATCAGACAGCCTGTTCTTCACTCTGACATTTGGCAAGCCCCAGAGCATTAGACAATAACAGCGAGGGGAATTTTTGTAAATGAAGAGCTAAAGTCTGACTTTAAGGAGAAATTACATGACCTGGAGAGCAGGCTGGTGACAGCCAATGAGATATCTCTGTGGTTGGTGCAGGCCGCACACAGACGTACAGGCACTGACAGAATGAGAGCAGGATGCAGACATCGCCCTGACCATACAGTCACAGCATCCTGCTGGCTGGTAGGGCCCTCTGAAAGTCAACAAATCCAAGGCTTTGCTCAGAGTTCCCACAGAACTGTTGAGCTGTGGAGAATGACCTCTTTTCAAAACTATTTCTCAGAGCAGTGCAAAGTGCTACATCATGGGAGGAAAAATACATGACCGGGGCCAGCCAGCTAAAAGATGTCTTTGCAGACAAGGATGCAGGTATCCTGCTGGATAAGAAGTTGTACATGATCCAGCAATGTGACCTTGCTCTAATGAAGTCTGGTGGTATTCTGGGCTGCACTAGTAAGCATGTTGCCAGCAGGTTGAAGGAGGTGATCCTTCCCCTCTCCTCAGCACTGCTGAAGCCATACGTGCAGTACTGTGTCCAGTTCTGGAGTGCCCAGTACAAGAGAGACCTACACATCCTGGAGAGTCCAATGTGGAGCCATCAAGATGGTGAGGGGACTGGAGCACCTCTTCTGCGAGGAGAGGCTGAGAGCTGGGACTGTTCAGCCTGGAGGAGGCTCAAGGGGCATCATATCAATGGCAATAAATGCATGGCTTTTTTGCAATGCATGCTCAATAAATGCATGGCCCACGAGACAGAGCAGCATCCCTCTGTGAACATGGGCAACCCCTGTCTCTCTGCTCAAGAGTATCTAGCAACTCACCAAGGCTGTCCGTGTCCCATCGTCCTGATGGAGTGGTCACTCCCGTCCTACCCCAATCATGTCACTGTCCTTCTTGCAGTTAGAGCCTGGTGGGTGTGGGTTGTGGAAATCTTTCCTGTCCTAGAGAGCACTGGCAGCTCTTCCTCAAAGATGACTTCTCAAGGGGAGAGCAGTCAAGGTTGTACCGTGGTCTGGTCCAATCGCCATGTGATTCTGGCTGAAAGAGAATCACAGAATCACAGAATTTCTAGGTTGGAAGAGACCTCAAGATCATCGAGTCCAACCTCTAACCTAACACTAACAGTCCCCACTAAACCATATCCCTAAGCTCTACATCTAAACGTCTTTTGAAGACTTCCAGGGATGGTGACTCCACCACCTCCCTGGGCAGCCCGTTCCAGTGCCTCACAACCCTTTCAGTAAAGAAATTCTTCCTAACATCTAACCTAAAGCTCCCCTGGCGTAACTTTAGCCCATTCCCCCTCGTCCTGTCACCAGGCACATGGGAGAACAGGCCAACCCCCACCTCTCTACAGCCTCCTTTAATGTACTTATAAAGAGCAATAAGGTCACCCCTGAGCCTCCTCTTCTCCAGGCTGAACAAGCCCAGCTCCCTCAGCCGCTCCTCGTAGGACTTGTTCTCCAGGCCCCTCACCAGCTTCGTCGCCCTTCTTTGGACCCGCTCAAGCACCTCGATGTCCTTCTTGTAGCGAGGGGCCCAAAACTGAACACAGTACTCGAGGTGCGGCCTCACCAGAGCCGAGTACAGGGGGACGATCACCTCCCTAGCCCTGCTGGTCACAGTGTTTCTGATACAAGCCAGGATGCCGTTGGCCTTCTTGGCCACCTGAGCACACTGCTGGCTCATATTCAGACGACTGTCTACCATCACTCCCAGGTCCTTCTCTGCCTGGCAGCTCTCCAACCATTCCTCTCCCAGCCTGTAGTTCTGCTTGGGGTTATTGCGCCCCAGGTGCAGGACCCGGCACTTGGCCTTGTTGAACTTCATACAGTTGACCTCAGCCCATCGGTGCAGCCTATCCAGATCCTCCTGCAGAGCCTTCCTACCCTCGAGCAGATCGACACACGCACCTAGCTTGGTGTCATCTGCAAACTTACTGAGGGTGCACTCAATGCCATCATCCAGATCATTGATGAAGATGTTAAAGAGGACCGGCCCCAGCACCGAGCCCTGGGGGACGCCACTAGTGACTGGCCTCCAACTGGACTTGGCTCCATTCACCACAACTCTTTGGGCCCGGCTATCCAGCCAGTTTCTAACCCAACGAAGCGTGCGCCAGTCCAAGCCAAGAGCAGCCAGTTTCTTGAGGAGAATGCTGTGGGAGACGGTGTCAAAAGCCTTGCTGAAGTCAAGGTAGACCACATCCACAGCCTTTCCCTCATCCACCCAGCGCGTCACTTTGTCGTAGAAGGAGATCAGGTTCGTCAAGCAGGACCTGCCTTCCATAAACCCATGCTGGCTGGGCCTGATCGCCTGCTTGCCCTTCAAGTGCCGCATGATGATCCCAAGAGGATCTGCTCCATGAGCTTCCCTGGTACTGAGGTCAAACTGACCGGCCTGTAGTTCCCCGGGTCTGCCCTCCGGCCCTTCTTGTAGATGGGCGTCACGTTTGCTAGCCGCCAGTCAGCTGGGACCTCCCCCGATAGCCAGGACTGCTGATAAATGATGGATAGGGGCTTGGCCAGCTCCTCTGCCAGTTCTCTCAGTACCCTTGGGTGGATCCCATCCGTCCCCATCGATTTGTGGACATCCAAGTGCCGTAGCAGGTCACCAACCAGTTCTTCGTGGATGGTGAGGGCCACATCCTGCTCCCCGTCCCCTTCCACCAGTTCTGGGTACTGGGTATCCAGAGAGCAACCGGTTTTGCCGCTAAAGACTGAGGCAAAGAAGGCATTAAGCACCTCCGCCTTTTCCTCATCTCTTGTAACTAAGTTTCCCCCCGCATCCAGTAAAGGATGGAGATTCTCCCTAGTCCTCCTTTTTGTGTTGATGTATTTATAAAAGCGTTTTTTGTTATCTTTAACAGCAGTAGCCAGATTGAGCTCCAGATGAGCTTTGGCCTTCCTAATCTTGTCCCTGCACAGCCTCGCTACATCCTTATAGTCCTCCTTAGTGGCCTGCCCAATTTTCCAAAGATTATAAACCCTCTTTTTCCTCCTAAGCTCAAGCCACAATTCTCTGTTGAGCCAGGCTGGTCTTCTTCCCCGCTGGCTCATCTTTGGGCACATGGGGACAGACCGCTCCTGCGCCATTAGGATTTGCCTCTTAAAGAGCGCCCAGCCTTTCTGGACCCCTCTGCCCTTCAGAACCGCCTCCCATGGGACTCCACCAACTAGTGTCCTGAGCAGCCCAAAGTCAGCCCTCCGAAAGTCCAATACAGTGGTTTTACTGGTTCCCTTCCTGGCCCCGCCAAGAATAGTGAACTCCACCATTTCGTGGTCACTCTGCCCAAGACAGCTCCCGACAATCACATCCTCCACCAGTCCTTCTCTGTTTGTGAAGAGAAGGTCTAGCAGGGCACCACCCCTGGTAGGTTCACTAATCAGCTGCGTCAGGAAGCTATCTTCCACTTTCTCCAGAAACCTCCTAGACTGCTTCCTCTGGGCTGTGTTGTGCTTCCAGGATATGTCAGGGAAGTTGAAGTCCCCCACGAGTACAAGCGCCGACGAATTCGCAACTTCTGTCAGCTGCCTGTAGAACTCCTCATCCGTCTCCTCATCCTGGTTCGGCGGTCTATAGCAGACCCCGACCAGGACACTAGCCTTGTTGTCCCTGCCGATCCTAACCCAAAGGGACTCGATCTTGTCATTCCTAGCCTCAAGTTCTACAACATCGAAAGACTCTCTAATATAGAGAGCCACACCGCCACCCCTTCTGTGCTGCCTGTCTTTTCTGAAGAGCCTATAGCCAGGCATCGCAGCACTCCAGTCATGAGACTGGTCCCACCACGTTTCCGTGATAGCAACCAAGTCGTAGCCAGCCCGCTGCACGATGGCTTCCAGCTCCTCCTGTTTGTTACCCATGCTGCGTGCATTGGTGTAGATGCACTTCAGCTGGGCCTTTACCTTATCCTCCAGCCTTGCCATTGCTCCCCCTGGCATAGCCCCAACAGTCCTTGCTTCAGCCCCATCCCCCTTCTTACCTAGTTTAAAGCCCTATCAATGAGCCCCGCCAGCTCCTGGCCCAGGATCCTTTTTCCCCTAAAGGATAGGGACCCGTCTACGGCCATCAGACCAGGTGCTGGTAAACTGCCCCATGGTCGAAAAACCCAAGATTTCTGCGTAGGCACCAGCCCCGGAGCCACGTGTTTAGCAGGTGGGCTTTCCTTGTCCTCTCCGTACCCCTCCCTGTCAACGTAGGGATGGACGAAAATACTACCTGCACTCCCGCTCCGTCCACTAACCGTCCCAGCCCCCTAAAGTCTCTTTTGATAGCCTTCAGGCTTCTGTCATCAATGTCATCACTACCTGCCTGGACTATCACAAGAGGATAATAGTCTGAGGGGCGTACCAGGTTGGGGAGCTTCCTGGCAACGTCCCTGACCCTGGCCCCAGGGAGGCAGCAGACTTCCCTACGGGTAGGGTCAGGCCGACAAATAGGGCCCTCTGTCCCCCTAAGGATAGAGTCTCCCATGACAATCACCCTTCTTTCTTTCTTGGTGGAGGCAGTCCTGATGCGTGGAGTCGACCTCCTCGCCCTAGGCATCCTCCTGGGAACACTTTCTACCTCTTCCTCAGTTGCTGTTGATCTCTCATTCTCCAGGGCCTCAAACCTGTTTTGTAAGGGCACCTGGGAAGGTGGGGCTGGAAGGGGAGGGCATCGCCTGCCATGTCGTGCAGGGACCTGTTTCCATTCCTCCTCAACTCCCAGATCCCCTCCCTCTGTCCGACGGCGACAGGGCAGGGGGTCCACCCCCATTTGGGGTGTCTCACCCCGGTACCTCTCCTTGAGGCCCTGCAGGGAGTTGCTCCAGAAGTCTATCTCCCGCTCACATTCCCTGATGGCCCTCAGCCTCTCCACCTCCTCCTTGAGCTCCGCCACCATGCGGACCAGGTCATCCACTTGCTCACATCTCACGCAGGCAGCGTCTCTGCCTCCCGCCGACGGCAGCAGTAGGCTCTGACACTCCCTGCATCCCGTGACCTGAACCGCTGCATTCTTTAGCGGGTACTCGGTCTGGGTGTGTACCGACGTCCTGCAGAGCGCTCCGTGCCTTGTGGAGACCATTATCGCCTAGCTAGAGACCGTCGTTCAGAGGCTTTCGTGTGGGCGGGGGTTGCTCTCCGCCCTGCCTGCTCGCCCTGCCTGCGCGAACTGCCGCGCTAACTGCCGCACCACTCCCTTCTGACGCGTCACTCCCTGTTTGCCCGCCCTGTTCGCCGCGCTCCTGGTCGCTCGCGCTCCCTAGGGGCTGCTTTTGAAAGGCCGGGCAGGGGGCGCTGCTGGCTCCGCCTTCGCCTCGTCAGCCTCCCTCACGAGGGCTGCCGGCTCCTGGCGGCTCCCTGAAGTCGGCTCGATGCCGGAAAGTTAGCCCTGCCTGGCCCGATCCCCCGCTCCGATGCAGAACGCGTCTGCCCCGGAGCCGATCGCCTCGGCAAATGGCCGAGAAGAAGCACCAAACAGAGTAGCGTCCCTCTGTCAAGACGGGCAGCCTCTGCCTCTGTGCCCAGGGGTCTCCAGCGGCTCACCGAGGCTGTCCCTGTGCCATCGTCCTCATGGAGCGGTCACTGCCCTCCTGGCCCGAGCGTGTCACCGTCCTGCTTGCTGTTAGAGGCTGGTGGGTGTGGGTTGGAGCGATCTTAATTGTCCTAGGGAGCGTTGGCAGCTCTTCCTCGTCGATGAGTGCTCGAGGGCAGAGACGCCAGGATTGTGCCGTTTCTGGCTGAAAGAGGAAAAGCACCAAACAGAGCAGCAATGGCCAGCCTGCTGGGCTTTGGTTGGGGAGATCTGAACTGTCCTAGAGAGCGCTGCAAGTTCCTAACAGCTGACTTCTCAAGGGCAGAGAGGCCAGGCTTGTGCCGTGGTCTGGAGGCAATCCAGTGTGTGTCTGGCTGAAAGAGAAGAAGCACAAAACAAAGCAGCACCTCCCTGTGAGCATGGGCAGCCCCTGCCTCTCTGCTCAAGAGTGTCTAGTGACTCACCGAGCCTGTCTGTGTTCCGTCTTCCTGAGGCAGCATTCACTGCCGTCCTGCCCCCATTCTGTCAGCTTCCTGCTTGCTGTGGACCATCGGGGGTGTAGCTTGGGGCGATCTTACCTGTCAGGTAGAGTGTTGGCAGCTCTTCCTTCCAGCTGAGTTCTCATGGGGAGAGTGGCCAGGAGTGTGCTGTGGTTTTGTCCCATCGCTGTGTGAATCTGGCTGCAGAAGGAGAAGCACCAAATGGAGCAGCATCCCCCTGAGACCACAGGCTGCCCCTACTTCTGTGCACGAGGGTCTCCAGCGACTCACCGATGCCATATCTGTTCCATCATCCTAAGTGAGCGGTCACTGCACTCCTGGTCTGAGCGTGACACCATAGTGGGGAATGGCTTGGGGCTGTCTTATCTGTCCTGGAGAGTGCTGGCATCCTTTCTGGCTGAGCTCTCAAAGCGAGAGAGGCCAGCAGTGTGCCGTGGTCTGGTCTCATCCCTAGGTGTGTTCCTGTCTGAAAGAGGAAAAGCACCAAACAGAGCAGCATCTCTAACCATGGGCAGCGTTTGCCTGAGTGCCCAAGGGTCGCCTGCCATTCTCTGGTTCCATTGCTGTACATTACTGGCTAAAAGAGAAGCACCACAAGACAGAGCAGCATCCCTCTGTGAACACGGGGAGCCCCTGCCTCTGTGCCCAAGGGTCTCTAGTGACTCACCGAGGCTTTCCGTGTTCCGTCGTTTCCATGGAGCGGTCACTGCCATCCTAGCCTGATCGTGTCACATTCCTGCTTTCTGTGAACAGTGGTGGATGTGGGTTGGGGAGATCTTACTCTTACTGGGGAGCGCTGGAAGTTCCTTCCAGGTGTCCTCTCAAAGGGAGAGTCGCCACAATTGTGCCGTTGTCTGCTTCCCATCGCTGTGTGTGTCTGGCTTTAATAAGAGAAAGAACAAACGGAGCAGCATCCCCGTGTGACAAGGGGCTGACCCTGCCTCTGTGCCCAACAACCTCGAGTGTCTCACCATGTCAATCCATCTCCTGTCATCCTGATGGAGCGCTCACTCCCGTCCTGGCTCAAGCGTGTCACTGTCCTGCTTGATATGAGACCATGCTGGGGTGTGTTTTTGGGGCAATCTTACCTGTCCTGGAGAGTCTTGGCAGCTCTTCCTCCCAGAAGTCTTCTCAAGTGGAGAGAGGCCAGGATTGTGCCGTGGTCTGGGTCCATCGCTGGGTGTTTCTGGCTGAAAGAGAAGCACCAAGAGACAGAGCAGCATCCCTCTGTGAACACGGGCAGCCCCTGCCTCTCTGCCCGAGGGTTTACCGCAACTCACCGAGGCTGTCATTGTTCCGTCAACCTCATGCAGCGATCACTCCCTTTCTACCTCGATCATGTCACCGTCCTGCTTGCAGTCAGAGCCTGCTGGGTGTGTTTTGGGGCAATCTTACCTGTCCTGGAGTGTGATGGCAGCTCTTATTCAAGAAGACTTCTCAAGGGGAGAAGTCACTTCACGTTCCCTGGACAGCAGCACCAGTTTCACCTCCTCACCTTCCGTGGCATTTATTGCCATTGATATGATGCCCCTTGAGCCTCCTCCAGGCTGAACAGTCCCAGCTCTCAGCCTCTCCTCGCAGAAGAGGTGCTCCAGTCCCCTCACCATCTTGATGGCTCCACATTGGACTCTCCAGGATGTGTAGGTCTCTCTTGTACTGGGCACTCCAGAACTGGACACAGTACTGCACGTATGGCTTCAGCAGTGCTGAGGAGAGGGGAAGGATCACCTCCTTCAACCTGCTGGCAACATGCTTACTAGTGCAGCCCAGAATACCACCATCGTCCTCATGGAGCGGTCACTGCCCTCCTGGCCCGAGCGGGTCATCGTCCTGCTTGCTGTTAGTGCCTGGTGGGTGTGGGTTGGGAAGATCTTACCTGTCCTGGAGAGTGCTGGATCTTCCTTCCATCTGACTTCTCAATGGGAGACAGGCCAGGATTGTGCCTTGGTCTCATCCCATCGCTGTGTGTGTCTGGCTTTAATAAGAGACAGAACAAACTGAGCAGCATCCCTCTGTGACCATAGGCATACCCTGCCTCTGTGCCCAAGGGTCTACCAGGACTCACCGAGGCTGTCCCTGTCCCATCGTCCTGATGGAGCAGTCACTGCTGTCCTACCCCGATCGTGTCACCGTCCTGCTTGCAGTTAGAGCCTTGTGGGTGTGGGTTGAGGCGATCCTACCTGTCCTGGAGAGTGTTGGCAGCTCTTCCTTCCAGCTCAGTTGTCGAGGGCAGAGAGGCTAGGATTTTGCCGTGGTCTGGTCTCATCGCTGTGTGTGTCTGGCTGAAAGAGAAGAAGCACAAAACAGAGCAGCACCTCCCTTTGACCATGGGCAGCCCCTGCCTCTCTGCTCAAGAGTATCTAGCGACTCACTGATGCTGTCTGTGTCCCGTCATCCTCATGCAGCGATCACTCCCATCCTGCCCCCATTCTGTCAGCTTCCTGCTTGCTGTGGACCATCGGGGGCGTAGGTTGGGGTGATCTTACCTGTCCTGGAGAGTGTTGGCAGCTCTTCCTCCCAGCTGACTTCTCAAGGGGAGAGCAGCCAGGATTGTGCCGTGGTCTGGTCCAATTGCTGTGTGATTCTGGCTGAAAGAGAAGAAGCACCAAACGGAGCAGCATCCCCCTGTAACCATGGGCTACCCCTGCCTCTGTACCCGAGGGTCTCCAGCGACTCACCGAGGCTTTCCGTCTTCCGTCGTCTCCATGGAGCGGTCACGGCCGTCCTAGTCTGATCGTGTCACCGTCCTGATTTCTGTGGACAGTGGTGTATATGGGTTGGGGTGATGTTACTTGTCCTGGAGAGCGCTGGAAGTTCCTTCCAGATGTCTTCTCAAAGGGAGAGTCGCCATGGATGTGCCGTCGTCTGCTTCCCATCGCTGTGTGTGTCTGGCTTTAATAAGAGAAAGAAAAATCAGAGCAGCATCCCCATGTGACAAGGGGCTGACCCTGCCTCTGTGCCCGACGGACTCGAGCGTCTCACCACGTCAATCCGTCTCCTGTCATCCTGATTGAGTGGTCACTCCTGTCCTGGCCCAAGCATGTCACCGTCCTGCTTGCTATGAGACCATGCTGGGGTGTGGGTTGGGGCAATCTTACTTGTCCTGGAGATCATTGACACCTTTGCTAGCTGACTTCTCAAGGGGAGAGAGTCCAGGAGTGTGCCATGGCTTCATTCCAGCACTGTCAGTGTCTCCAGCTGTAATAGAGGAGGCGACAAACCGAGCAGCCACCCCCTCTCAGCACTGGAAGCCATTCCTTCCTCCTTGCACGAAGCTCTCCCAGCCTCACACCAAGGCTGTCCATCTCGCATCTTCCTGATGTCCAGGAGATGTTTGTTTGTTGTAGCTTAAATGTGCCATATTCCCACTTAGCGTGGTGACACCGTGGTGGGGAATGGTGTGGCGCTTTCTCATCTGTCCTGGAGAGCGTTGGCATCTTTTCTGGCTGAGTTCTCAAAGCGAGAGAGGCCAGCAGTGTGCCACGGTCCGGTCTCATCGCTAGGGATGTTTCTGTCTGAAAGAGGAAAAGCACCAAACGGAGCAGCATCCCCCTGTAACCATGGGCAGCGCTTGCCTGAGTGCCCAAGGGTCTTCTCACCGAGGCTGTCCGTGTCCCATCATCCTCATGCAGAGGTCACTCTCGTCCTGACCCAATCGTGTCACCGTCCTGCTTGAAGAGAGAGGAAAAAGAAGCTGACTCCCTCTGCTTGAGGTTGTGTCTGGAGAGGACACTTGAGCGGGAGGAGCAGGCAGCCGAGCAGCCTCCCCGTCAGCACGGGCAGCCGTTACAGGCCTGCCCAACCGCCCAACCGCCACTGGGGCCAGCATTCCGGAGCCATGGCCGTCCCCAACGCTTTGTGTTGTGCCAGCCTGGGCTTTGCTCTGCCCTTGCCCCTCAGGGTGCAGCAGGCTGTGGGTTGCCATGTTCTTCAGCTTTCTCTCTGGAAAAAGCACGTGTGGCTAGAAACATGCCTGCTGTTGTAATCCAGTTACATTTATCTGGAGTTAAAGCCAGTAGGAGGCCGGTCACTAATGGAGTTCCCCAGGGCTCACTACTAGGGCCAGTCCTCTTTAATATCTTTATCGATGATCTGAATGAGGGGATCGAGTGCACCTTCATGATCTTGCAGATGACACCAAGTTAGGTGCATGTGTCGATCTGCTCGAGGGTAGGAAGGCTCTGCAGGAGGATCTGGATAGGCTGGACCAATGGGCTGAGGCCAACTGCATGAAGTTCAACAAGGCCAAGTGCCGGGTCCTCCACCTGGGGCTCAATAACCCCAAGCAGAGCTACAGGCTGGGAGATGAGTGGTTGGAGAGCTGCCAGGCGAGAAGGACCTGGGAGTATTGGTGGCTAGTCGGCTGAATATGAGCCAGCAGTGTGCTCGGGTGGCCAGGAAGGCCAAGGCATCCTGGCTGGAATAAGAAGCAGTGTGGCCAGCAGGGCTAGGGAAGTGATTGTCCCCCTGGACTCGGCTCTCGAGATTCTCTTCTGAAGGGTAAGCCACAGTATCTCTTTTCAAGTGTTCAGAAATTGTACTGATACAGAACGGATCATTTCCATATCAACTCTTAGAATATGAAAAATCATGCAAATAAGCAATTGACATGATTATGCTTTTAGTGCTGCACAAGCTAACAGTAGTCAAGTGATCTTTGGCACTGAGGCCATGTTATTTTGCAAGTTAAAGTACTAAGTTAGGTAAATGCATGTTTTTAAACACAGTTTTCTTGGTGTAAGCACGTTTTCACTCTCTATTACTTATCTTTTACTTCTATATTCTTAATCTATTTCTTCTATAGTTTTGTGTAATTTTGTTTAGTTTCTTCTCCTACATGAATTCACTTGCATTCTGAATTACCTTTTTCGTCTCTTATGCTGTGATACACTTTTTCCTCTCTTGGACTTTTCTTCATTGCTCTGCTGATCTAGGCACAGTTTTCTATATTCAATTTGTTCTTATTTAGCCCACAAATAATTAGATTCCATTTACTTCTGAGGAAGATGTATCTCACTGCAGAAAGAAAGGAGTTCTCTGAGTAGCAAACAGATTGCACAAGAGCTAGCAAGGTCCACCCTATCTATCAGTCACTTCTGAACTAACTAGTGATGCACTGCTTCCCATGCTCTCTATCCCATGATACAGCAAAATAGAACCACTTCCACTCATCAAAGGCTCATCTCCTTCAAACAGGGATCAGTGTTACTTATGTTTCATGTGTTCATTCATGTGTCAAACACCAACATCTAGATTCCAAGATCTGTGTCCACGCTGATGGGTTCACACGGCACTCTCAGACTGTTCCATAAATCCTTAGAGCTCTTTGAAGCATGAGGCCCTCACCCTCAGACTTCGAAGTATGTTCCAATCTGGATAAACACATGTTGCCTAAATCAATCTCCCTGCACTGTGTAGTTTTACTGTAATATAATATGGTGGATTTTTTTATTATTATTTTTCTTAATGGAAGGCTTAGAAGCAGCTGTTTTACTGACAGGAAGAATGAAAAGACGTCCCAGTTTTTCATTCCCTCTACAGCAGGTCAATCTTCATCAGCTGGCAGAATCATAATAGCCCATGCAGCTCACAGAACTGCAGTGAAATATGTCTCCGGTTAGCTAGACAAGAGAAGGTTGGTGTGCAGATGTAGACATGGGTTATAGGGAAATATATCAAAAGAAGTGGGAAGCAATAGCTGTAAAATAAGGCAACTGGAGAGGAACAGCTGTCAACAGGACACAGTGAAAGTGAGAAAGGAGGAAAGGAAGAGCGAAGCTATAAAACTGAGTTACGGAAGAATCACTTTTCTTCCGGCTTTATTCAACTAAGAAACACATATTTTTGAACTGCGCTTTTCTCAGATTAGGAAAAGTGGTAAATATATCATGTAATCAGCCATTTGGATTGTTAAGGTGCTGCCCTGTGTTTAGGCAGAGCAGCTGGAGTGAAGATTAGACTGGTTCAAAACAGAACAGGGTGTAATTATTTCAGCCCTCTGAGCCCAGATTTGTACTTTCCATGGGCAGCTGCAAGATAGCTAGAGAG